GGAAAGGACTATTTTGGCTCACAATTTTGGAGGTTTCAGTCCACACAACCTTTGGCCTGTGGGATGGACTGTGGCTTTATAGTACAACGTGGCACCTGCGTGTAATGGGGAGGCCTGTTTACCTCATGGCTGAGGGCAAAAGAGGAAGAGACTGGCATTTCTCGCACTCCCTTCAAAGGTACAGCTCCGCTGACCTAAGATCTCCCACAAGCTCTACTTTCCAAAGGCTCTCCCCACCTTCCAATAGCACATCAAACTGGAGACTCGGCCTCTAGCACTTGGGCCTTTGTGGGACATTCAAGATCCGAGCTATACCATTCTACTCTAACATGACAGAGGTACCTCGGTTCCTATGTTTAATTTGCTGTATGATTTTACAAAAGATAGCCATGCTCACATTTGCCACCTGATGTAGTTTGCAAACAAAAACCGAATTCTGCCAAATGCTTTTGTTTATGAACCAAACTGCAAATCAAAGTGTTCATGAATCATTGTACCACTGCATTAACAATGATATCACTGAAAACAGTTTAAATTTTTTAAAATCTCATTTTATTTTTAGAATATATCCATTATGGATGTATGGTCCAATTACTGTGTTATAAAGTCTCTTAAAATAATTCCTTGCTGTGCTTTTATTTTTACCCACTTAATAGTAGTTCAAGTGTTTTACTTTGCTTTTAAATTTTAGGAACTGCCGAACAATTTTATCATTATTATTATTAGGTACAGCGTCTACCTATGCAGTTCCAACTCATAGTGATTCTCCTGTCTCAGTCTCTCCAGCACTGGGATTACAGGCAGCACTGGGTTCTGCCAGTGTGGCATGCTGTTATTGTGGCTCAAACTCAGGACTTTGCGCTTGCCAGGCAGGTGCTTACGCTACTGAGCTGTCTCCCAAGCCCTAACAATTTTTAAATTTAATTTTGTAACTAGGCTGAACTCAAATTCAAGACACAGTCTATCCTATTTCCTGTTCTCTTTCCTCTAAAGAAAAACATTGATTTTTAAAAAGATTTACTCTTAAAGATATAAGCCATTATGTATTCATATCAACTTCTTTTCTTAAATAAATGATAAACTAAACTCATTTCCTTTCACTTTTTTCATTAATTCCTTTTTTTTTTTTTTTCAGAACAGGGGATTGAACTCAGGCCCTTGTGCTTTCCAGGCAAGCACTTATTCTACTGAGCTATCTCCCCGGCCCCCATTAATTCCTGAAGATCAAGCCTTAGCATTACCTAGAGACCCTCATTCATTTTTACAGTTGTATATTATTTCATTGCGTAGATATAGTTCTAGTTTATTAAATCAGTTCCCTATTATAGGAGTTGTAGCTGTAGTTCAGCATTAACTGCCTAGCATGTATGAGGCACTGGGTTGGATCCCCAGTCTGCAAAAAAAATATATATAAAAATCTGTATTATAGATATTTACGTTATTTCAACAAACGATATGATAAAATGTGTGCAGAGTGAACTTCTGTGTCAAAAGTTGAACGCATTTGTAATTTTGGTGGGTACTGTTGAGTGCGCCTTGAAGTTGTACCATTTTGCATCTCTACCTGAAAGGCATGTGTGTACGTAATTCCCATAGCTTTGCTTACAGAGTATGGGGAAACTCTTGGCTTTTTACCAGTATCATGGTGGGTGGTTGTTGGTTGTTCATTGTAGCTTTGATTTGGGCTTCTGTCATCATGTCTCAGTTCGATACTTTGTTTTGCGGTACTGGGGATTGATTTCAGGACCCTGTGCTTGCCAGGCAGGTGCTTATTCTACTGAGCTATCTCCCTGGCCAGTTTGAGTAGATTTTCATGGTAAGGGTCATTTGTATTTATTTTTGTCTGACCTATTTGTTCATATCTCTTGTCCATTTTTGTATAGGGTTGTTATAAGTATATGTGACACACTGTTTTTACAAGCACTTTATTTATTAGGTTTATTAACCCACAGGGGTAGGAATTGCAAATATTTTTTCTCAGCTTGTCATTTGTGTTTTAATTTTCCTTATGGTGCTTTTTGTCATGGAAAAGTTCTCTTTTATGTTGTCATTTCTATCAATCTGTTCTCTAATTGCATCTGGAGTTTTGAAGTCAAGCAACTTAGCTAGCAAATTTTTCTTTTGCAAATTTTTCTTATGTCATAGAGAAATCCATCCATATTTTCTTCTAGTAGTTGTATGGTTTCTTTTTAAAAATATTTACATCTCCAACCAATTTGGAATTTATCCTAGTACATGAGACAAGAAATTGATCCAATTTTATCTTTTTCCATCTTTATCTCAATGTAACTTAAAAAACCCACTTTCCTTTAGTGATTTGGTATCATTTGTATCACAATATTGTATACTGTTCCTGTCACAAAACTAAAAAATAAGAATAGCCACCACCTACAAAGAATGATGGCAAGGGAATTCTCATATTGTGGAGAGAAGGGGGTGGAGAGCCTAGTGACTTTTTTTTATTGTTTTTCTCTTTTTGGAGAAACTAAATTGTGATTGTTGGATAATTCACCTTTGGTTGACATGGGTGGAAGTAGGTGTAGTGCTTCAATTGTTTCAAATGGTTTCACCCATTGTTTATTGGTTGGAAAGCTCACATTCTAGGCTAGTCATCATTTATTTTTTCTTTCTTTTTTTGTGGTACTGAGGATTCAACTCAGGACCTTGCACTTGCCAGGCAAGTGCTTATGCTACTGAGCTATTTCCCCAGCTCCTCTGAGGCTATTCATCTTAATCATCAATTGCTTTTATTACTGTGATCTGGTAACAATGACTCAAATGTTTCTGTAATGGGATGTTTCTCAGTTCTAAAATTAAACAAATGACTAAAGACTTTTTACTGCGTGGATTTGTAAAATTAATGTTATAATAACAAAATTAAGGTAATGTTGTTGACAACTCACCTTTTTTCCCAAGAGATCTATCCTAATAATCTTTTCCTCTTAAGTACGATTTGTCATATGATTTTAGTGGAACTTAAAGTTTCACACTGTGCCACAAATATCTACCCTGAATGGATTTGGAAAAAAAAAAGCCATAGGAAACTGGCAGAGTTTGACGTCTGTAGGGGCAGGACACAGGGGTGGAGCTGGACAGGGTGTTACGGGTGTTGTTTTAATTCTGCCTTTGTGTTAAGTTTCCTCCCTATGCGAAGTGGTTTGTAATGGAATGCCTGCCTATGTTTCCAGTTGCCTTTATCACTCTGTTGGAGTACCATAATCAAAAGAAGTAACAACAGCTGAACCAATAGTGGTTGTTCTAGTCAAGAATATGTTTTCAGAACAAACTTGAAATTAGTAATTCTCATTTTGACCACTGGGTCAGTACTGTTAATCATGAACTTTTAAGACTTTGGATTTGAAAATTTTCAGTTATGGAAGTAAAAGAACTTTGCTTTGGCTCACAACCAAAGAGTTACTATTAGCATGGATCTTAGTCTCTGTGCAAGAGGGACTTTGAGAGTATGAAGAATATAAATTACTTTCTGAAGCTGGCAGTTCACTTTTCAAAGCAGTTTGTCTCTGTGCCTTTTTGAAGAACAGTTTCATATACCCAAGTGAATACCAATTTATTTAATCTAAGGAGTGTTGAATTATTTTTATAACACTTATAATACTTTCAAATGAGGAGAATCAAAATTTAAAGAAAACTGCAAATTATCTTCTCAGAAAGAATAGACTTCAAGTTAACTATTGGGGATGCATAAGAATAATCTGCTAAAAAGTATAAGGTACACTATATTGATCTTTTTCAGTTTCCTTCCATATTGTACCATAAGAAATAAAATAAAAGAGGTCAGGAGAATAAACTACTGATATTGAATAATGAGGAACTAATTTAAGAGAAGCTGTCAAAGAGGCACATATTGTTTCAAGTGGCATGAACTGTTATTTGAAGTCACCTGCTTTGTAAAGACTGTCTGTTGCACAGACATGGTCTTAAGTTTTGCCACTGCCAAATACTTAAGTCTCTTATCTTTAAAAAAAAACTCTTACTGTCTCTTTTCTCAAGAAGGTCCTTAAAATATGCTGCTGCAAAAGCTGGTATGTTTTCTGGTTGCTCCCTCAGGATCTCACGGGTGAGCCCTTCAAGAAGATTCCCAAATCCTTGTGGAATTCGGAGGTAGGTGTTGGAGAATGGAATGGACATCTTCTTGGAAAGCACTGCCTACGGTACCTAGAGAGTCATTAAAGACTGCTAAGTTTATCTGATCTTAACTGTATAATCACAATTACGACAACAGATTACTGCAAATTTTCTGGATCTCAATTTCTTTTTTCCCCACACAACCCAGGTCCATCTGCTTCTTCCAGAAGATTCTAAATTCTTCATTGTGAATCAAAATATCACAAATACAGACCCATTCAACATAGAAATAATTTTCTAAAAATTACAAAACCAGAGTGTTCATTATGTCACTCAATATTTTCCCCTATCCTCTTGTCCTAAAAAGCTGAGAGCAGTTGTTGCTATCCTATAAAATATCTGGTATGAATGACTGTCAGAAAGCTACTTTAGTAAAATTATCAACTGCTCAGAAGACCCTGTTTAAGGTCTAAAATAAGAAATTTAAAAGTAGGAACTAGTACTGATTTTAGAAATTCTTTAAGCTTGTTGAATACATTTCACAGCCTTTTTCTCAGCTGCCACTTCTCAAGCATGACGTAGGAGTCTTGAAGCACCTCTGTACTCTGCAATGGGGCTGAGGAAGGGAAGGAGAGCAAGATTTTGAAATCCAGCCTCTAATCTTGTGGAATTCTGTTTTCTGGTATGGTCTTGACCAGGCCTTTCCCGCCTGTCTTGGGCTAAAAAGGCTCGACCAAGGGTAGCTCTCAGGTGGTGAGCTGGGCTGCTGAGTGCTGAGAGAATGCCAGGGGCCTGCTGTGCTTGTCTGCAGGGCGTCGGTGCCCGAGCAGGCCGGCGTCCAGGACGGGCACACCGTGTTTACACAGGCCCCGTCTGGGGACGTTCTCTCCCTTTTCCCCTTCTCTCTTTCCTTTTAGGTTCTGAATCATTGTAGGGGTGTGAAAGAAACCGGGCGAGACTCTGAACTGAGCTGAGGTGTGAGGTTGGACGGAGGGAGGGGAAGACAAGGATTTCAGACTCTCTACGAATGGGTCGCCTTGCTTCTCAATCTGCTCCAGGGGTCCCAGGTGCGTTGGGGACACTGCGAGAACACGAGAAACAAAGAGAAAGGCGAGGTCTTGGCGTTGGAGAGGAAGTGGGGGGAACCACCTTACCTCTTCTTTCTCTCCCAGCTGGTGCCGAGGGTTAGAATTGTTTTTCTCGTTGCTGGGTAACCGTTTTTTGTTAAAAAACTACGGCGGCCGAGAAGGAGAGAGTGGCACCTCGCCCTGCGGCCGCGGTAGGTTTCCAGAACTGAGTCCGGGAGAGGGCGGGGCGGGGTCTCTGGCCACGCCCACTCACAAAGGCCCCGCCCTAACCCGCTAGCCCCGCCCCTCCAGGCACTGGCCCAAGTTCCAAGCTGCGGATGTCGCTCGCGGAAGTATGGTCGCCCCTGAAGGTGTGCTTGGGCTGGTGCTGCCTTTAATCCTGTGGGTGGACAGAAGTGCAGGTGAGGCTGACCGGCCCTGCCAGACCCCGGTCCCTCAGCCAGTGCCCGCCCCGAAGTCCCGCGTCAGCTTCGGGATCCCCACTCACTTCTCTTCAAGGTCAGGGGAGGAATCTCCGGCCGGGCCCGGCCTGCACCTTGCAGGGCCGGAGCCCGCGCTTCTGCTTTCTCCTCCTCCCGCCCTTGACACCGCCTAAGGGGCAGAGGAGGGTACCGTTGATCCCTGTGGTGAGGTGCAGACTTGCCCCATCAGGGCCTCGGGGGAGGGCGGAGGGAAGGGGGCGAAGCTAGTTAGGTAATATTTGAAAACAGGTGACTGAGTCATCCACAGCCTTTCGGCAGTTGCCCCCTCAGTGGTACCCTCGGGGACGGTTTGCATCAGGCTGGGTTCCTTGCAGGAATTACATTTTCCTAGTTTAAGTGGTTATAAGGGCTAAGAAATATAGCCCCCTTACGCGCTCAGAATAAGTTAAGGCTCAGCTTTGATTTCTGGGGCTGTCTGGATATGCTGATGGTGGAGTAATAATGCATGGCGTTGGGGGACGGGGAGGCTGACTCACTGATTATTGCGCAGGACAGAGGCTGTCGCTTGAATACCCTGAGCTGGACGCTGGGTGAGAGTGGAGAGGCCCGAAGAAGGAATCTGTCTGCTAATGCAGAGTAACGTGATTGTCCCCCTACCCTTTCATTCAAACCACTGGAAGAGTGGAACTCAATGATCTCTCTTAAGAAACAAAGTTAAGACCAGGGATATAGCTCAGTGTGTATAGCACCTTACTGGCAAAGACGGGATTGGTTTAAAAAAAAAAGGAATGAGGGCTGAGGGAGGAAGAATGGCACTGCTGATACTCTAGTTAAGCACCTTCAAAACACCAGAATGAGATAAACAGCAGCCGGTGAGTTCGACAGAAGTGCAAGCTGGTAGTGCTCTGCTTGTTTCCTCCATTCCTTCTCATAGACTTTTGGGGCCCTGTTACCCCAGGTGAGGAGAGGATAAAAAAGACAATAGGGCCACAGTGCCACAGTTTTATTAGATTTTTCTGTATAT